GTGTGTGTGTGTGTGTGTGTGTGTGTGTGTGGCCATCGCAGCTAGACCTTTAGTTTTATTCCAGACATTCCAGTGTTCATTAGGGACGTGAAGTGCCAAGATCAGAACCAGAGTCCTATTCTCTACCTGGTGTCCCTGAGGCCCTGGCCATCTGCAAGGTCCTTCTACCGACACTCCCTGGGCCATGGAGCAGACTTCATGGGAAGCATCATTCTCCAGGACTCTGTCCTCTCTCACCACCCCAGGTGTACCCAGACACCATGGCTAGAATGGGAGGGGACCCAGGGATGTTCCAAATTAAAACCCTGGAACAGAGGCTTTGCTTGCTTTCTTCACTGTGGAAAACTTTCTGCAAGCGAACTTGCGGAAGCTTGCACAGAAGCAGACCAGAGAGGAGCTGTTCCAGCTGGGAAGGGACCCGAGCCCTGGAGCAGCCTCAGGGTGCAGCTGGGGCCCATCACAAGCAGGTGGAAGGGGCAGGGGGCCAGCACGCTGCTCCCCTGCTACCTCACGAACTCACCCAGGCCGCTCGCTGCTCCTGCTGCTGGAATGGACAGTGAAGACCGTCTCGTTCAGCTGGTCCCAGTAGTACTCAATCCCAGAGTTTAAGGCCCTGAAAATCAGGTGGGGAAGGTGGAGACATTAGAGAGGGAAGCCAAGCTCTCCTGCAACTCCCAGGCTTTGCAGACTCAGCAGCCCACCTTGCCCTCTCCCGGGCTGAGACCAGGACCACAGACCTCCTTCATCGGGAGCTCAGTGCTGGAGCAACTCACACAAATCTCTCGTATGGGAGGTGATGGTGGCTCAGGTAAAAGGCGATGCTCTGCCACATGGGAAGGTTCTGGGCTCGCACGCAGAGACCTCCCTCAGTATGCCAGGCATGCACATACCCTGACTCAGGCCTGGCTGAGGATGGGGGGGAGAGGACTGCGGAATCTAGACCTTGCTAGGAGTACTGTCTCTCTGATAATAACTCACAAAAGAAAATAATTTTGAATAAGAAAATAATTTAAATTTTTTTTCTATTAGCACAAACGCCTGGAGTATTAGTTTTTAGTTTCTTCCTTTCTCCAAAGCCTAACCAGTCCATCATGGGACTAAGAGAAGCGGAAAACTGGCCATGCTCCACCGGCAGTGGCTGTCTTCCTCAGACACATGGAGAGAAGCTGAGGTAATGACAGGCTGAAGTAAGGCCCACCAGAAGGACAGGGTGCCATGGACAGCCCTGCCAAAGGACACGCTCAGTCCTCAGAAGCACAGGCTCCTGAGACAGAGCCATGGCCCTCACCGCAAGTCGTCCCTGCCACCATGGGGCCAGGAAGAAGGAGGATGGGGGCACCCTGATGGTCTTCAAGTGCCCGGAGCTCAGAGTCTAAGTAAAAAATGGCCTTGCCAAGCTGGAATGGCCCACGCTGCTCCTCTCCTGGACCCGGAGCCTCCTTTGCCAGCGTTGGAGGGCAAGCGATTTGGAAAGGTGGTCGTAGGGCTTAAGAAGACCTAGAGTGCCCATGAGCTTCTCCCAGTGGGGAGGGAACCTCAGGGGTAACGTGCTGGACCACTGCTGGCACAGGTAACGTTTCCATCTGTTCAGCTCTCCAGGCTGTCAACCTTTCCAATACAGAGTCCTGTAACTTGCAGAGCTGCCCTAAGGGAAGCTGGGCCTCTCATTTTTCCATACTGATTAGCTAGGACTGGGGAGCAGTCCTGGCTGTGGGTGGGTTTCCAAACCCAAGACTGGCTTACTTTTAGGGATTCCTCCCTGAAGAGTATTCCCTTGCACCCGTCACCAGAATCGTGTGTAGAGTGCTGGGGAAAATTGAGGAGCACAGGGACAGGGGGAGGGAAAG